TCACTGTCATAACCTGTTGGACATGAACACAGAACACGTTGTTATTTAACCTGCAATCCACTTGGCATTGCCTTTTTTAAAATTTTTCCTCCACAAGTACCAAGTTCAAATTTATCGGGGATCAGGCATTTTGCATTTGCATGCAATTCTTTGATTTTTCAATTCTTCGTGAAAAAGACATACAGTAACTGTCAGCAAAACAGACATTCTTGGGGCTCCTGTGTTAATGTTACTTCGTCCCTATTTTACAGCTACATCTATGGAGGGCTTTTATAGAGCGGGTTTTCATGACAATAACTCTATGATTAGTTAATTTTCTTTCATTATTCCCTTAACCCACCAATCCAGACTTGAAGTCCTTCCATTTGATTTTTGTATGTAACGATGACCTTAGCCACAACCCGCGATGCTCCTAAGTCCACTCTCCACCAGGGGTCCTGCTGGGACTGAGTTGTAGCACAGGAGTGAACATCTCCATCCACAGCTTTGTTAGCGGTATAATTTGACCTTGTAGAAGACTGAGAAGCAGACTGATACAAGGCAAGATCTAGCAAAAAGAACAGCAACTCAATTTAAGCGCAGCTCACTTATTGCTCGCTATAAAAGAGTTTATAGTTTAATTTTCAATGACTTATTTATTCTGTAGGGCTGATCTGAACGGATCAAGGTTGGGAATCTCACAAATAAATCATGGCGCTACACTCAGAGTCACGAATTATTGGACATTGTGAAATACTAGAGTTATGCTTGTTATTCTGTCCTTCCACCCGGTACCATATTTATTTCTATACGAGGAAAGGTGACGTCCTCAGTCACATTGCTGAACATCATCAACTCACGAGCCACACTATTGATTAAGACTCCGCGCAATGCCTAACCTAGAGCTCCAACTACTTTCAACGACTGACTTTGGAAAGCTGGTGAACTAACTTGGAACAGACTCCCCTCAACAAGTATCAACTACTAACAGCACCATGCAAACGACTTGTTCACGACATTAACATTAAAAAAAAAAACCGAGAAGATGGAGAGAAATTAGCATTTGAGGGTGTGTGTGTCTGCGTGTGTGATGGGGGTGGGGGGCTGGGAAGAGACCTTCCTTAATGCTTCCTGTGAGCCTATTACTGCATAAAATAGCAATAACAAAATTAATAATAAATTCAAATACTATTCAATCCTGTAGGCTGAACAACAACGCTGATTTCCTACGGTTACCACCCTCCCGAGGTAATACTCGGGAGAAGATCGGCCCTTGTGACCCTAGGGTGGAAAATGTTTGAAGTTTTCAGTTTTTCCCGTGGGTAGGGGGTTGGGAAACTTCAAATAACTACCCACACAAAGACTCCTGGGGCGAAACGAGATATGTATTATTTTATTATTTTTTTATAATTATTTCATTATTTCTCATTTCTTTTATTTTCATTGTATTTCTTATTATTAATTTATGTTATTTCCATTTTATGCAGCAATAGGCTCACACGAAGCACACGCAAACACACCCTCAAATGCTAATTTCTCCCCACACTACCCCGTTTTGTACATATGATATCATTTGCACATTTATCGCGATTGACTACCTAATTTACCCCGACCTGCTCTCGTGCTGGTCTCGTAGCTCAGTCGGTAGATCTAATTCGGAGGTCGTGGCTTCAATCCCCACTTGGTCAAATTTTCTTTGCCCCGTGAGAACTCCCAATTTCCCTTAAAAGGGTAGTAACCCAGGGGGATTTATTGTATCGGCAGTATTG